TGTATAATATATAATATGATCTCAAACTAAATAATTATGTTTTTTGGTATAAAATTGAATAAACTGAAAACCGATGGTATATAAACCAAATCAAACTGTAGTACATATAGATTTAGAATAGTAGTTATATTTTAATGATCGAAATACCAAAAAATCGGACAAAAAATTGAGCCGAACCGAAACCCGATATCCGGATTGAACACCTTTAATCCGAATGAAACCGAACTATTGTTTCATTTTTCAAAACATAATAAAAATAATAGCTTCATCCCGCGCAAGGCGCGGGTCTTATCCTAGTCTAATATTAAAAAAAATAAACATTGAAACCCAACGAATCATAATAACATAATTGTTCTTATATTTTTTAAAAACATAACTGTTGTCAAAACTAATGCAATGTCTAATAATTTAACAAATAGAGATTATTTTCCTCTGGCCTCAATTACCGTGTTAGCATAGCTGGCCCATAAGCAAGACCCAAAGCATCGTTTATATATAGTACAAAATATAATATATCTATTAATAAATTTCTATAAAAAAATATTAATGTTCTTAAGAATATTTTTATTATTATCAAACAAATACAAATTTTACACATAAACTTTAATTAAATTATATAAAAATATAAGTAAAAATTATATAAAATATAAGTAAAATATCAAGAAGTTGCTCTTAGTGTGATGAATCAAGGAACCTGGATGGGAGATATCTACGTCATTTCATGTAATCTAGGATTTGGCAAAGACAAGTTCACATGCAGAAATTTTGGTTTGGTTGTATATGTCATTGGAGTTAAGCCTAAGTAACACTATAGTTTTTGAAGTTTTAATTTGATTTTAACACCAACACTTGTTAGGTATGTAACTGCTCCCCTGTCCGTAATTTTTGATGAAGAAATTCCAGTACACTTAGGACCATTTCACTGGTTCACTGATTAGTATATCACAGAAGCAAAAATACTATCTTTTTATCCATGCAGAAAAGTTCCATATAATTCAAAAACTTTGTTTGTTGAAGTAGTTTATTAGCAAATCATCATGTGCGCCTTGAATAACCGTCTATGCATCTCGAGTAAACCAAGAGATTTGGTCACTAAATAATTCAAACGTGACTTGAGAGAAAATATATTCGTTAGATCTACAAACTGATGATCGTTGGTTTACGGATTATCTGTCACGATATATTCATTATATTCATGTTTGGATGCTGTTAAAAAATCTGTGGATCTTAGTTTGGTATTGATAAGTTCGATAAAGACTTAAGTCTCTGTTTGATGTTTCCTTCAAACGGAATTTGATTAGAGTAAGTTTGGTAATGAACTATAAGTTGCAGTTCATGTCTTCTTGCATTATTGACTTGTCCAAGAACTAAGAAGACATGTGATGTCTATATGTTTGATTGGCTTCTGTGTATTGACCTTAACTACTCTCCGAACACTGGACATGATTTTAAAGCAGAAGAATTCATTTAGGTTTTGTTGTTGGCTTCGGCACTGTAATCATATTGTACTTTTGAATCTTTTCCTGTTTCATATATCTACATGCAAGGTTCTTCGGTTTATATTCAGAAACAGCCGCTAGGGTGCCGCTAGCTTCCCTGTGTAGTGGCCGCTACCGTAAAAGGCTATATGACTTCGAAGCTCGTGGTATTCTCTAGGCCGCTGGTTCTGGCTGCTGTGCCCCCAAATGAGATGGAGTTTTCTCGGGTTAAATGAGTTTTATCTTCATTTTTCTAGCGGCCAAGGTAGTGATCGCTAGAGGTGGCCGCTGGGATATGTGGGAGCTAGCTGTCAAGGCAAATACCGCTAGACATGGTCCAGGACTTGTATTACACGCACTGGGATCCGCTTTGGACAATGTCACGCAAGTTATCTACCGTTACATCCAGGGCGCTCGCTGCTGGAGCTGAAGACTCAGGAGTTTGTTAAGGCAACTGTGAGTTAGAAGAGGCTTGAGAAGCTCATGGTTAGGCTTCTTGATCATGAGAGTTTCAGGGTTAAGCAATGTAAATAGTTCTTTGTTGTCTATTAACTCTTTGATTATTGGTTTTATATGCTTCTAGTCATTAATTTTTTCATTAGTTTCTGTTCTCGAATGACATCTTCGAAATGTGTTTATCCTAATGTGAATGTCTTCTTTTCTACACAGTGCTGGCTCTTGCCATTTGAACAAGGTACTTTTGCACAGAATCTTTACAAAAAAAAGTTAGAATTTGGGTCTCTTTTCTTAGAATTAGGGCCTACAAAGTACAAATGATGTGAGGAAATAATACAAAATCAGAGTAAATTGAGACTTGTTAAAAGCTTATTACCAATCATCTTATGAGTTTGTGTTATTCTAATGTGAATGTAGTTTATGCCATCTATGCTCATATTTCATCTTACATATAATCGAAATATTAAAAAGACTTTACCAAATTAGTTTTGTTTCTGACACCAGCTGAATAAAATCTATCGAAGTCTGTGAGAGAATGTTTTAGCGTGGGTAAAACTCTAGCACAGATCTCTTGGAAAGTGAACCCAAGGCTCAAGCCTCAAATCTCAGCGTATAGGAGACATGTGGAGAGTAAGAGTCACGCGGTTCGAGGAAGAGATATATTGCCATGCAGAGGAAAAAAAAAAGAGTAAAGCAGAGAGGGAACATGATGGACCGGTCACGATGCTTCGGCTGTCGTCCAACGACCAAAGCACCCATTTTACCCACTTTTCCTATTACCAATCTCTTTGATCTTCTTTTTCTGTTTTGAAATAATTATACTAAATCATTATCTGATCAACGATCCAATTATAATCATTATGTAACGCCTCGAAATTCGATCTGCATAACACCTTTGTCTCCTAATCCACTCCATATATTCTACTCGGATCAATCTACACAGAACTCAACTATATAATCACTCTTAACGAGAGATTATTCGATTCTTTAAGTTGAATCAATCTATACAAAATACACAGTGTGTTGGTTATTTTAAGGGACAAAGGGTTAACTTTACATTTAAAAAAAACTTCATCCAATTCATAACATCGTTGTCTTTGACTACTTTTGTTATCATGGATTCATAACAACAATTTTTTATGAGCATCCAAATCGAGACTATTTAAGTTTATTAAATTGTTACAGTTGATTTTCCATTTTATGGAAATCACCTGTCATGAATATACTTTTATTTATAACATGGAAATGGAGTATTTGTCAAATAATCACGACTTATATAGACCATGCTGATAATGATCTATAAGTCTCGCTCAGTCTGGATCTATCAAGGATGACCATCAGGAGGTAGAAGATAAAACCTTATGTACTAAGAAAATATACTTATATATGTATGAAACTCTTGATAATAAATTTAAACCCTAACTAAAGCAAGAAAACAAAAACAATCATGTCAGTCCTACCACATATGGTACACAAACCCTAATAATTACATATATGACAATTATTTTCTTATACCCCCAATTCATAATATTTTATACACACATGCATATATATATATAAAGGTTCGCCCACTTTAAGTTTTAGCTAGCCATCTTCACCCTCACACTTAACCTTCTCATTTCTCCTTCCATTCTCTTTTTTTTTTCCTTTGTTGTGATCCCTTCCCTCTACTTGATCTAGTTCTAATATCAACCCACCAAGAAAAAGAGAAGAGAAAAAAGGAATCTAGCTTTACTTTAAGAATTTTGAAGAATAAAATCAATTAAAGAGTTCACCATGGTTTTTTCCTCCATCCAAGCTTATCTTGATTCCTCCAACTGGCAACAAGTAAGTGCTTTCCTATTTTATATAAACAAACTTCTTTGAAAGTTTAAAAGAAAAAAACTATTATTGCTTAGCAATTACATGTTCTAATTTGGGAATTAGACCAAAAATGAGAAATCGTAATTCAAACGAAGAAAAAGAAAAGACACAAACAAAATTTCTTCCTGCTTTGGAATAAGCATAATCTAATTTTGGAATCAAACTCCAATAAGAAGTGCTAATACTAGTTCAAAGCAATAAAAAGAAAATATACAAAAAAAATCCTTTTGCTTAGCATGTTCTTGAATATTCTTGTTCACTTTTACTAATTTCATCTTTTTAATTTGTTAAATTATTTCAGGCTCCTCCAAACAACTATAACCAGGGCGGCGAAGTAGCCTCAGCAACCGGCGGTCATGGTCTCGGTCCTCAGCTGCAGCCACTATCTCAGCCGCAGGCTAACGGTAGCGGAAGCAGTGGCTCGATCCGTCCAGGATCGATGGTGGATAGAGCAAGACAAGCAAACGTAGCCATACCTGAAGCCGCACTGAAATGTCCAAGATGCGAATCCACCAACACCAAGTTCTGCTACTTCAACAACTACAGCCTCACTCAGCCACGCCACTTTTGCAAAACCTGCCGAAGATATTGGACACGTGGTGGTACCCTCCGCAACGTCCCCGTTGGTGGTGGCTTCCGGAGAAACAGGCGTACTAAAAGCAGCAGCAACAACAACACTAGCACCGCCACTAGCAACAACACAAGCTTCTCCTCGGCGGCCTCAGGGAATGCATCATCCACCATCAGCGCGATACTCTCCTCTAACTATGGAGGAAACCAAGAGAGTTTCTTGAGCCAGATTTTGTCTCCAATGAAGCTAATGAACACTACTTATACTACAGATAATAGTATGAACTTGTTGAACTGTGGAGGATTGAGCCAAGTCCAAATGGGAACCTCTGGTGGCTCGCTTATGAGCTTTGTTGATGAGTGGAGATCAACGTCTAATCATCAGCAGGCGCCGCAGAGTTTGGGAGGTGGAAACTGTGATGATTCTTCTAATCCTAATCAATCTTCAAATGGCTTTTACCCTTTTGAATCACCGAGGATGACTTCTGCTTTAGCGTCGCAGTTTTCTTCGGTTAAAGCTGAAGATAATCCTTACAAATGGGTTAATGTCAATGGTAATTGCTCTTCCTGGACTGATCTTTCTACTTTCGGCTCTTCTCGTTGAGTTCAACAAAAAAAAAAGGAAAAAGGAAGAAAAAAGGGTACTTATTGATGAAAAACCCTAGTAAGAGATTAACTGTCTTGTTTTACGTTTTTGTTTAGTTTATGTTGTTTACTACTTCCTTCTTTGTCGATCTATGATTCTACGTACGTAGCTTAAGTTATTGGGTGTGTCTGAGACTGTTCCTTTGTTCTTTTTGTCAACACTGTTTCTTTGTTATAATTGAGTTTGATACATCTGGTCTTGGTGTCTTAAATGGATCTGTATCTGTCAAATTATTAAAATCATGATATGTTCAATGCTTTAATTTTTTTTTCAGTGAGTTAATTTCATTTCTCACCAATTTGTTTTTTTTTTCTTTTCTAGACTTATTGTGTGTTTTAATTAACCGAAAATGCCAATAACAAAACATTTTTTTTTTTTTAATAAAAAAGCACTATTTTGGTCAAGATTTCTTCCAAGTTTGTTCTACCCCTTTAATGAATTTGAAAAAAATGTTCAAACTGTAAAAACATTAGTCAATTTTAATTTACATTTTGTACGAGATTTTGATTTTAAATTATTTTATGTTCAAAATAATAATTAGATGATAATTTAACCTGGATAGCTGAGATGACGGCTGGATTTTCTTAACTTAACTGTGAAACATGCAAGGACAGAAGCAGAGAATCAATGTCGGGACGAGAATTTTAATCTTAAGATGTCAGTTTGACGCGCTTTGGACCGCGTGTACACAGCTCACTAGGCGACATATTTGCTTTTATGTCAGCTTGTGTGGGGCAGACGTCGTCCAATGCTCCAGTGTTCATTGATCAAAAACAAATAAAATAACTCATTCTCAAGTCTCTACTGATTTGGCAAATTATAGTTTCTTTCGTGGTTCCAGTGCTCCAGTTATATTTACTACTCCTTTTTAGTAAAATTGAAACATTATATTTACAGAAACATTCATTTATATAAACATTATTTTTGTTGTTCCTAAAATGGGAGGATTGGTTCATAGTGAAAGAAAGGAATCTTAAATTAGATGATTGTTCTGCTTTTGCAAGTACCAAGGCTGCTCACTAGTATGGAATAAAGCACATTCAAACCTATAAAGCTAGGCCACAGAATAAAAAACCTGCCCAATCTCCCATCATTTGGCTATTTTCATTTACAAAACATAATCATTTTTTTCTTCACTTACTATACATAATCAAAAAGTTCTTATTTTCATTACTTATCATATTGATATCATAATTGGAATTAACTGAAGTGACCTGCAGTGACCAGTATTGTTGAAACATCTGTTACTTAAACTGAATATTCAGATCACTCGAACTTGGAGTTCAACTCAGTTATCCACTTGAACTAGGTCCCCAAGGGTCTTTGCCAAGCTAGTGTAATGCCATGTAATACAATTATCGTATATTCCCTGATAGAATTGGGGAATTACCGTATATTCCCTAATAAATATTAAAAACTCAAGATGTGGCCATTAAATAACTGCATCGCCTAATGATACATTAGGACACATACATCTGGACTATGTAGGCAGAATTAAACTAAGTTTGCTCTATTCAAGGGTGTAAATGTTACCCAACGGAGGTGAAAGCATTTGTAAGTAAAAAAAATATCAAAACTGCATCTCTTTTGGTAGTGGAGTTATTCTGTCTTTTGTAGATAAGGATAGTGTGGCGGCTTAGACAATAACACCTATTATATATATGTAGATGCCACAAGTTTCCAATGGATACTATAAAGATTTAATTTGAATAACTTTTCCTTTTATAACAAAAAAAAACTATAGACCTTTTAATCCATAATTTCGTCCGGTCCGGATTTAACCTTTTAAATTGAATTCTGAACCACCAGAGTTGGTTTCACAAAAAAAAAAGAACCACCAGAGTTGAACATCAGTATATGGTAATTCACATTTAGCCAAATTGTGTGTAATCATATTAATTGGTTGTATATAAGATATCCAATTATCCATGTCTCATCATATAATAGGAATATTCACGCAAACATGATCTAGAGTCTCTATCATCTTTTAGAGATGATCTTTTAGTTGTCTGAAATTGATCGATGTATTTATAAGCATCATACATGTGGATATAAAGTGGTGAAGAGTTATAATATCTTAGTAGTATTACCTTGTCACGTTTCTTCCTCATGTTGTCATCAACCACACACGTTCTTCAATCTTCATTATTAGATCAAAGATTCCTTATGAGCCACACTTTAAAAAGTACAGAAGCCTACATCTGTATTTACATAACGTGCATGCATACATGCACAATCAATCCCTTTTTCTTTTATAAACTGATCCTATATACTTTCTAGGTCATCAGAAATCTAAATCACCATAAGCTTATATTAACACAAGCTATCGGACATTTAAATCCCCTTACCGACAGATGCAATAAAAACATCGGATTACCCATGATTACTTTAAAACTATATGTATGGCATGTTTTGAGTTAAATAAATTCGATAACAACAATTTTGTAGAACATGTGTGATATCCAAGTGAATAGACCTTAAGAAAGTAGTTTACTCGAAGTTAGTTCTGTTGTTGTCAGAAGTTCCCAGTAAACTATTGGAAATTCTCACCAGTAGATTTGGTAAGCTCCAAACAAATCTTCAAATTCTCTGAAGCCTAACTAAAAATTACATATTCAATATCTATTTTACTAAAAACGCCGAATAAAATAGTTCCAGTTATTATTGGGCTACTACTATCAGGCCTACATAGATAAGAGAGTATTATCATAACGAACGAAGGGGAATGAAACATATGGATATTAGGGGTGGGCACGGATCGAATATCCGGGTTTTCAAAGGTATTTGTGATTTGCTTCGTATGTTACGGATATGTGATTTTGGTATTTGCTTTGCTTCGGAAAAATACGGATATCCGGAAAAACGGATATCCGGAAAATAAACAGATATTTGCGGATATTTACGAATACTTACGAATATCTCATCCGTTACAAATAATCTTATATAAATTTATTTTGTAAAACTTTTTTACATGATATATAAAATAAAAAATAAAGAAGTAGTGAATTTACATATTTTATAATTTTTTAATGTTTAAGTTAACAACTATAATAGCACAAAACTTAAGATTTTTTTTATAATTTTCATAATTTTTCTCTTATTTTTATCTAATAATTTTATATAAGTAATAATGCGAATGTAATTAGTCAAATCATAAGCTATAATAATAGTTTTATACATTTAAAATTTTAAATATAATCAAAATATACATATATTCATATATTCCCGGATCGGATCGGATATCCGCTTCCCAAAATTTTAATATTTGTGATTTGCTTCGATTTTTACGAATATTGATTTTTAGTATTTGCTTCGATTCGAAAGTTTACGGATATCCGGAATTTTCGGATCGAATCGAGACGAATAACGAATCGAATCAAATTTAACGAATAAAATGCCCAGCCCTAATGGATATGCATAGAAGTAGTAAAGTTTGAAATGTATAACGAGAAAACAGAACATAGTGAACCAAACATTAATCCATATTCCTAACAAAACACAACACAAAGATGTTTTTGAGCATAAAGCTAACTTGCAAAGCGAACCAAAACTTGTGAGTTTTAAAAGTAACAAAGCTCCCATAACACAGAAGCCTTGAAGGAAATGTTTACTTCTTCTCACCACCAGACCTGCAAGTAGTCACACAAAACATTTTACTTCAGTCAAGAAACACAATTTGGTCTGAATGAATCATAACACTCAAGACAATAAAGAATCAATACCTCATCTTACGGAGAACGCTAGACATCTCCTCTCTCTTTCGCTTGGCTCTCTTGTGTGTACCCAACTTCCTCTTAGCAACCTTAAGAGCTCTCTTGTCTTTACCAACCTTGAGAAGCTCAGTGATTCTCTTCTCGTATGGAGCAAACCCAGCAACTTCCCTGATCAATGATCTAATGAACAACGTCCTCTTGCTCGTTTTCTACAATATTACATAAATTTAATAAATGTCAAACAAAACAAAACACCATTTCTCAGATCAGAACAATACTATTGAATCCCTAAACTCATCTCCCTAAATAAGACCAAACATGAAACCAGTAACAGACTCTTTGTCTTGTCTAAAGATTGGAGTGAAGAGAGAGAGATACATACCCCTTTGCGAGAGTTGGGACGAGGAGCCAATTCGCGTCTTGTGACGACGTGTCCTTTGTTCAATCCGACGAACAAACCAGTCTTCACTTGTGGAGCTGCCATTTTCTCTGCAATTAAAACAAACACCAAGCGATTCAGACATCAGTTACGAATCGTTACATTCACTAAGCAATGTGACCGGAGAGTAAGAAAGAGAGAGATTGATCAGGTTTGATTACCTTCTTCTTGGTTCGAACTCGGAGAAGCAGCCGCTTCTGAAAATAACAATGAAGGCGTTTTATATGTACGGCGATGAAATGGGGAACCCTAGTGTTTTCTCTATACATTGGGTTTTGGGCTTTTGGATTGATCTAAATGGGCCCAAATCAATTTCATTTTTTAGTTAAGTGTTTTCATCGGGCTCTGACTCTAGAAATCTTATTTTCTAAAGAACAAAAATATATAGTTGTAGGATTGCTACAAATATATTATATACAACTATATTAAAAAAAATTACAGACTAAATTATACAGTAAAATTCTACAGTTACAATCTAACCAATTGTCCCACTGTTTTTTAAAATTAAATGTAAAATTGTATTTGAACCAGAAATATTGTTTAAAATGAATGTACATGTTTCTTTTTTTTTGTGCATAACCAAAGGATTTCATAAAAATATATTTAAACCAGAGCCGGTACAATCATGGTTTAAACAAAAGTCTGCGAGAGCTGTAGCGGAAAAAATGTTCATGTTTCTCTTTATGAAGTTTTGGAGGTATAACGAGTGTTGAGCATGTGAGATTGATTTTGCTTCAATGCTTCTGATACTTGGTGGAGTTGAATCAAACTTTACTAGTACAGACTTGTAACAGCTTTAATTCTCGCCCGTATCACCATTCACCACCAATGGCAATGATCCATACCAGCTGATCTTAGGCCAATATCGATGTTGAGCCCCGCTTAATTATATCATATGGTCTTTTAACATATATTTCTACCTGAAATTTTCCCTTTTTTATTGAAAAATTGATTTCCCCAAACATTCCTTTTACATACACTTCTAAGAACAACTGATCTTTATATCTTTCTGATTGAAATTTTGCTACTTTTAGAAAATTCAGTTTTCAAGCACTTTTATATCCACTATGACAAAATGTAAACCCACTAACAAACACATTCTCTGGTTAAAGAATGTATATTAGTCAAGTTTTTTATTTTGACAATTATATTACTCAAGTTTTCACAGAAATGATACGAAAAAATTGATACATATACATATATACATATGTGCATCCTGATACAAAGAATAAAATAGCAAGATATGATATGTACGGATATCTGATGATCAATCTATATCTGATTGAAAAGTGAAAACTGTTACTAAAGGAGAACAATGAACAATAATTTATGTATTTATTTGGTTGTGTGAATGTTTTTTTGTGAATGAATATTAAATATAATTTGCATCATTTTTTTTTGTACAAATGACTGCAACTTGAGCTTAAGAGTAGTGATTGAGCTATAGAGCTTTTATACACACAGAGTTTTACACATTATCGAAGTTGCGTGAAGTTTTTGTCTGAGAAATTTAAAGTATAAGCTTTTTATCAAAATAAAAAATAGATTTAAGCTTATAACAATCTTTATTTATTTAGCAATGTGCGGATGTAAGATATCTTTCTCATCTATTTTTGTTTATTTATTTTCTTAATCAATGAAATAAAAGTAACGTATCATTCAATCTACAATCAAATTAATTAAATGGTCAATTAAATAACAAATTAGGAGACAGGTCAACAAAACCGAAAGCCAGATAAAAAGAAAGAGAGTAACATATACGTAACGAACATAACGGCAACATAAAGAAAGAAATGAACAACAAAACAAAAAGTTTTTTGAAGATCCATAAGAAAAAGGAAGAAGCTTAAGACATGAGACGATTGAGTGTTCTCGCCATAGCCTTTTTCAGCATTGGATGTTCCAACTTTAGAAGTCGAAGGAACTTCAATAAGGCCTTGATCCCTAAAGCGTTTATAAAATTCTATATCTAATCTCTTTTCTTGTCATGTCTTCTTCTTCATGTTTCTCTCCCTTTTTTCACTTTGATTACTTCTCTCTCTTTCTTTTGCATAACTTTAACTTTACAATATAATCTTCGTTTCAATGTGAGTGAATATTGTCAACAAATATAGAATGTATAGCTTACTGCTTACGGTATCACAAGGCTACTGCTTTCGTTCCATCGCTAACTAATGCAAACTGAATGTATACACTTCACTAACGTTGAACTCTCATGTTCATAGGAATAATTCTAGGTTCAACAGATCATGAAAACACATATTTGAGAAATTATATCGTTGCAAACTATTAAAAAGAAAACAACGTACATGTATTAAAAGATCGTGAGCATCATAAGTAAAACAAAAACTAACAATTGACAAATAATCATCATCTTGATACAGAAATATATATCTGAGAGTCAAGAAATCTAAAAAAACAAAATACCAATTCAATGCAAGTATTTTCCAAACGTGACCTAGAAATGGCCATAATAAAACCACAAAAAAAAGACTACAAGATAATATCTCTTTCTCTATTACTTATTTCTTGATCGTCATTGTCGTCGTCCTCCACTGCAAATCCGTTATAAACGTAGCATTTTCCGGCGGGAATCCCAACCTTCTGCGACACGTCATTGTTACACCTCTGTGCATCGTCGAGTATTCCTTTTTACCTTTTCTTGGAGCCGGTGGGCATTCTCTGACCTCATGGATTCTATTCTCCGGACGAGTTGGTGTTTTGAATCCGTCATTCTCTTCTTCCTCTTCTTTTTCTTCTTCATCTGATCTCTTCCTTTTCCGACAAGTTTCCAACACGAGTTTATTGTCGGAAAATGCGTCCTCTCTCGTCACTGAAACCTCACCTAACGTTACCTCTTCTTGACTCAAGCTTGTGGTCTCCGACATGCCTATAAATCTACAAAACTCAAGAAACTAAAGAAGGGCACCAGAAAGGAGAAACGAAAGGAACTCCTTCTTGTTCTTGAGAGAGAGAAGAAGATGAAGGAGAAATAATGATTGATCAATGTAGATAGATCCAACGTGGTAAAGAATATTAGTCAGGAAAATGGTCAGCTTTCCTTTTTATTAGTATTATTTTGTTTCTTTAGCATTTTTTTCAGGTTTGTTTAGAGATGAAGTTAGGAGCGAGTTTGTTGTGGGAAAGGAGAGAGTCTCAAGGCATACATAACGTATTGAAACCCTCTTACTGATTCAGAAGGAAACTTAATGTGATATCATGCCGTATATAAATAACCGTTACTATAGACTATATTATATTTTTCCTTTTATGATCCCGGCGATAAATTAATGAAAGTATTGCCGATGCCTTTCTGCTTCTAGCAAGTTAAGCACCAAACTTGACGTCTCTGCCTTTACGTTTCCAAACTACATGTGCGCTTTTGCATTCTTAGCTTTTATTCATGAAAAAGAAATATTGTTGCCGTTAAGAGTTTTAAGACTTTAATTTCGTATCTTAATGTTAGTAAATTTTTGCGTAACTGATATACTTTAGTGATTTATGCTAATGTAGTGCTGATGCTGTATCACTACTCAAATTTTAAGTTTTACACCCACATATACAGTTCTTAATGGGAATCATATCTTATGGTTGTAAAAAATTTGATTTCAGTAGTATTTTTTTTTTGATCAAATAATTTTTTTTCCCAGTAATTTTATGATATGTATCCAGTCTTAATTATACTTCTTTGAGCGGACATAAATAATTTCTTATATATACAAATATATATGATATTTTACTATATTACAATATAGTAAAATATCTAGCTAAACATGATATATCTCAAAGATTTTTTTATAAAAAATAAGAAACAATAAAGTAAAATTCAAAATAATAATGACACAACGATATGGTATTAATTATTTATTGTATATATATATGACGAATCAATTTTGGAAACACAAAATGGGGAATTTTATTTAGAAATGATGATCAATGATACTAGGACCCTGTAGTGACTTACGTGTTCTGTTTTAATATATTTTGGTTGATGTAAACCTACCATTTTGTGTTTCCAAAAGTGATTCGTCATATATATATATATATATACTTTATGCTATATTATATGATATACGTTTAAGAAAACAAACTTGATCAGTACTATGAAAGTATGAATTATAATTTTTCTTCAGTAATTAACGAAAATTATATTAGGTTTCCACAATTTATCAAGACGTATATTAGATTTATCCATATGGTAAAAAATACTAAAAAACATTGGAGATAAATAAAATATTTGTAGTTTTTTAGGTCTAATGAATAAAAAATGTTACTGTAACCATTTTATTTACTATAAATAGTGGCCCACATAAACATAATCTACTAAATAACACTTTCATTGTAACTATAAATGAAAATTTCTATTTTTATTATCATTTACTTAATTTTTCCTTTTATTTTTGTTAAAATTTTCTCTAGATAATATAGATATAATTTTTAAATTGGCAGAGGTAAGAAACATTGGTAAGAAGAAGTCTCTTACAAGTTACAAGTACTACCATATATATATATATACATATATTACTACACTAAAACAATTAATTGAGTGAAATGAAATTGTCTTCCATATTTGTTTAATTTTGAAGTAGTGAATTTCATGGTATTTATTTCACTTGGGAATATAAAATCTCGTGTAAATGGTAACAAATTAGTAAGAAGAGAACCATACCAATAAAAACCAAACCGAACCAAAAGCTCTGGTAAAAACCATAGATTTACCGAGCCGTGGAAACTGCTGGTGAAAGTGGTGGGTGAAAAAGTCAGTTAAAAAAAAAAAAGAAGTGGAAAACGAGGTGAACCGAATTCGAAGGAGCCTTTGGACCCGTTTTTGGTTTTTTTTTGTTTATTAACGTTTCTCCTTCATCTGATTCTCTCTTCTCCTCAGGCCTGCTTCTCCTTCATCTTAATCTTCTTCTTCTTCCGTTTCATTCCTCGCTCGGGCTTCCTTCAGTTTTGATCCCAGGTATTTTCTAGACTCTTCATTTGATTTCGTACATGTAATGTGAGTTTTTGCTGTTGTTTTTGAGATCTGGTGTCTTGTTATCATTACTTCCTCTATTGGTGTCGTGTCTGAATCTTTGATATGTGTTTAGTAATAATCCTATTGTCCACACCAATTGTTGTTTGTTTAAAATGACTCCTTTGTATCCTCTGCTTTGGTTTTGTCTTTCTATTATTTTATTACTGTGGAGATTTATTAGTGTCGTTGATAACAAATGGGTTTTGAATAAAGTAACTTAAGGAACAATATAATTTATATTTTTTTTTATTTGCAGAAAAGTATTTTTTTTAAAATGGCTGATGGTGAAGACATTCAACCTCTTGTTTGCGACAATGGAACTGGAATGGTTAAGGTATAATTACTCATCAGATACGTTTGTTTCTTGGCCCTATGAACAATGTGTCTTTTGTTTTGAATTAGGCTGGTTTTGCTGGAGACGATGCACCACGAGCTGTCTTTCCCAGCATCGTAGGTCGTCCACGTCACACCGGTGTAATGGTTGGTATGGGCCAAAAGGACGCTTACGTAGGCGACGAAGCCCAATCAAAACGTGGCATTCTAACTCTCAAGTACCCTATCGAACACGGCATCGTCAACAACTGGGACGACATGGAGAAAATCTGGCACCACACTTTCTACAACGAGCTACGTGTCGCACCCGAGGAGCATCCCATTCTCCTCACTGAAGCTCCTCTCAACCCTANGTGGCATTCTAACTCTCAAGTACCCTATCGAACACGGCATCGTCAACAACTGGGACGACATGGAGAAAATCTGGCACCACACTTTCTACAACGAGCTACGTGTCGCACCCGAGGAGCATCCCATTCTCCTCACTGAAGCTCCTCTCAACCCTAAAGCTAACCGCGAGAAGATGACTCAGATCATGTTCGAGACTTTCAACGCCCCCGCCATGTACGTGGCTATTCAAGCCGTGCTCTCACTCTACGCTAGTGGTCGTACAACCGGTATTGTCCTCGATTCAGGAGATGGCGTGAGCCACACGGTTCCTATCTACGAAGGTTACGCACTTCCACACGCTATCTTACGTCTTGACCTCGCGGGGCGTGACCTAACCGATGCGTTTATGAAGATCTTAACCGAGCGTGGCTACTCATTCACCACCACGGCAGAGCGTGAAATCGTTAGAGATATTAAGGAGAAGCTTTGCTACATTGCTTTGGACTACGAGCAGGAGCTGGAGACGGCTAATACAAGCTCCTCTGTTGAGAAGAACTACGAGATGCCTGATGGACAAGTGATCACCATCGGTGCTGAACGGTTTCGTTGCCCTGAGGTTCTTTACCAGCCGTCTATGATCGGTATGGAGAATCCAGGGATCCATGAGACGACGTATAACTCTATAATGAAGTGTGATGTGGATATTAGAAAGGACTTGTATGGTAACATTGTGCTTAGTGGTGGAACTACAATGTTCCCTGGGATAGCTGATAGAATGAGTAAAGAGATCACTGCTTTGGCTCCAAGTAGCATGAAGATTAAAGTTGTTGCACCTCCCGAGAGGAAATACTCTGTTTGGATTGGAGGGTCTATCTTGGCCTCTCTCAGTACCTTCCAGCAGGTACACACAGTCTCATTGAACCAACTAAACCGATTTGCATCTTGTTATCTTGCAGCTTAACCAATCCGGTTAATCCCTCATATTTTTTTTTTATAACTTGTGCAGATGTGGATAGCAAAGGCAGAGTACGATGAGTCAGGCCCGTCCATTGTTCACAGGAAGTGTTTCTAAGTTCCAAGTTTCCCATAAGTTTATGCTGCTCTTTGTTTTTGTTCTGTTATGTTTTGGGATTCTGACCAAAGACATGTTCAAGATTTTATGTTTTTTTCTTGGTTTTATTAGGTACTATCTTTGAGTGAATAATGACACCTTTCTCTTTAATTATTTATATATATAGCAATGTGTTTCTATGTTTTTCTTTTCTACTATTGTAGACTTTTATCAATTAAAGTTCTAAGATATAGAAAGTTTTGCAGTTGTGAGGCAGTGCCTATGATTAACACCAAGCTTGAGAAAATAACATTGGAGACATCAAAACGATTAAAGAAGATAAACAAAAAAATACAATAAAATCTGAGTTAAGGAACCCCAAAGTCTAGTTAAAATTGCAGTCACCAGACTGACAAAGAAACAAAAAGCCTACATTACACGACACAAGAATGTAATTGGGATTTTATTCATTCACACTAATATATAAACCCTATATAATAAAACTCAACCAAAAGAAAGAAAACAAGACAAGTTTTAGTCCAATATCTGAGACTCAAAACCCATATTATTTTCTTTAAATGACATCATCATTTCCTCCTGTTTTTTTTTTTTTTATCAAAAAACAAACACACTGACACATCAGAGAGCCAAAAACAAGCTTCCTCTCTAAGATATGTGTTATACAGTGAAACCTTTATAAATTAATAATGTTAGGACTATACCAAAACTAAAATTTTTATTAATTTATAGAAATTATTAATTTATTGAGATATTAATTGAACCAAAAATTCAATTTGGGACTACGAAATTATATTAATTTATAGAGATATTAATTTATAGATTATTAATTTAAAGAGGTTATACTGTATCTTCTTTTACCTGCTTATTCGTTCAGATAGTGAATTCATAGGTGATTTAGTATGATTCGATTTGGAGCAAATTCTAACATATATAGTTTTTTTGGAGATGCTCTAACAATAGTGGTCCTTCGTTGCTATTTGCATGTTAGTTTCGAATCTAGCTCCTTGTATTATTAGTAGTGGTCCTTCATTGCTCTTTGCTAGTTTTGATGACCTCTAGATATATTATTACAAATGCTTTGATATAACTTAGGATCTTAGGGGAAGAGCCCTTGAGAAATATAGAAAGAGCCGAATCAGACATGTGTATCTCACATAATAAACTTATTCCTCTCAGTCTCTAGTCCTATGACTATGCTTCAAGCACAAAGTAACAAAAGATTAGAACCGAGCGGTAACTTGAGTGAAAAGTGCCTTGAAATCCTTTGTTGGGGTGCCTGTTCCCTCTGGCTTTGAGGCCAGATCAAGCGCTTTATTCTTTGCCTCCTCTAGCTGCAACGCCTGCTCAAATAAAGACACACCATGGATTAGGAGAGAGAGAGAGACAAAATGGTTTTTAAAATATATAATGCAACAGTTGTAATATACACACACCTGAACGCAGACTTCAGCAACATCAGCCCTTGCGATTGTTCTTGTTTCTGTCTCAAGAATCTCGTCATCTTTTCCCACAATTAGTTCTCTGATGCCACCTTCCTTGTCCTGCAGACCACCCGCCCTGATCCCACAATAAAATATTTGTGACGTTAAGATTCCATTCCACCAATTTTTGCAATTTGAATCATATGCAAAGTCTAACCTGATGATGGTGTATGGAATACCGGAGTCAGCCAAGTACTGCTCAGCTTTCCTCTTCCAAACCTACAAGTTTGCAAAACGATGCTTGAATATTCTGAACATCTTTTTGTTGTTGTGGAACTTAATTTCTCTGTTCAAGAGAAAAAAAGAAAGATGAATTACCAGAATGTTGCCATTGCCAATACTATTCAAGGGGTTGTTTATGTTTGTTCCTCCCATTGATCCGACCAAAACAATCTGCTTAACTCCTGCTGCCTTAGCTGTTACAACAAAGACAAGATCATCAACACTTTCTCTATAAAGACACATATAAAAGTATAAAGTTTAATCGTTTTCCAACTCAAAACCAATTGACGATTAATAGATTGGTCCAAGTCACTTAATGTTTCATGTAGGACTTCACATACTTACACACACTCTTTATATATTAAGGTAATAAAAAGCTTAAGAGATGAATACAAACCAGCATCTATCTGATTCTTCTGACCAATCCAATCAACCTACAAAAAAAAAACAAAGAATCAAAAACCAAACAAGAATGTACAAACCAAACAAGAACACAGTAGTTGTTGTTGTCACCTGTTCAGGAGTAGCTCCATCTTCAAAATAGAACTCAGGTCTCTCTCCTTTGCTAGGATCAAAACCAGGTTTCATCTTCGGCACAGCGCTCGTAAGAATGACCAAAGCATCAATCCCTTGAACAGCAGGAGCTATGGCTTCAGGGTCACAAATATCTCCGATGAACAGTTTTTCATCCTCTCCACCGATCTTCTCCTTGCTCTCTTTCGTCCTCACCAAACCCCTCGCCACGAACTGATCAGACCTCTCCTTCAACTTCTTGTACACGATTTTCCCTGCCATTGTTACAAAATAAGTACATGCAGAGAGAGAGAGAGATTACGTGATGGACAAGAGAGAGATAACGGCAACATAAAGAAATAAATGAACAACAAAACAAAAAGTTTTTTGAAGATCCATAAGAAAAAGGAAGAAGCTTAAGACATGAGACGATTGAGTGTTCTCGCCATAGCCTTTTTCAGCATTGGATGTTCCAACTTTAGAAGTCGAAGGAACTTAAATAAGGCCTTGATCCCTAAAGCGTTAGTAAAATTCTATATCCAATCTCTTTTCTTGGCATGTCTTCTTCTTCATGTTTCCATCCCTTTTTTCACTTTGATTACTTCTCTCTCTTTCTTTTGCATAACTTTAACTTTACAATATAATCTTCGTTCATTGTGAGTGAATATTGTCAACAAATATAGAATGTATAGCTTACTGCTTACGGTATCACAAGGCTACTGCTTTCGTTCCATCGCTAACTAATGCAAACTGAATGTATACACTTCACTAACGTTGAACTCTCATGTTCATACGAGTAATTCTAGGTTCAACAGATCATGAAACACACATAATTGAGCAATCATATCGTTGCAAACTATCAAAAAGAAAACAACATACATATATTAAAAGATCGTGAGTATCATAAGTAATAAAAAACTAACAATTGAAAAATAATCATCATCTTGATATACAGAAATATATAGTTGAGAGTCAAGAAATCTAAAAAACAAAATACCAATTCGATCAAGTATTTTTTTCTGATACCTTCAGGAAAAAAAAACGTTCAGATATTTTCCAAACGTGACCTAGAAATGGCCATAATAAAACCACAAAAAAAAGACTACAAGATAATATCTCTTTCTTTATTGCTTATTTCTTGATCGTCATTGTCGTCGTCCTCCACTGCAAATCCGTTATAAACGTAGCATTTTCCGGCGGGAATCCCAACCTTCTGCGACACGTCATTGTTACACCTCTGTGCATCGTCGAGTATTCCTTTTTGCCTTTTCTTGGAGCCGGTGGGCATTCTCTGACCTCATGGATTCTATTCTCCGAACGAGTTGGTGTTTTGAATCCGTCATTCTCTTCTTCCCCACCTTCTTCATCTGATCTCTTCCTTTTCCGACAAGTTTCCAACACGAGTTTATTGTCCAAAATTGCGTCCTCTCTCGTCACTGAAACCTCACCTAACGTTACCTTTTCCTGACTCAAGCTTGTGGTCTCCGACATGCCTATGAATCTACAAAACTCAAGAAACTAAAGAAGGGCACCAGAAAGAAGAAACGAAAGGAACACCTTCTTGTTCTTGAGAGAGAGAAGAAGAAGAAGGAGAAATAATGATTGATCTATGTAGATAGATCCAACGTGGTAAAGAATATCAGTCAGGAAAATGGTCAGCTTTCCTTTTTATTATTATTTTTGTTTCTTTAGCATTTTTTTCAGGTTTGTTTAGAGATGGAGTTAGGAGCGAGTTTGTTGTGGCAAAGGAGAGAGTCTAAAGGCATACATAACGTATTGAAACCCTCTTACTGATTCAGAAGGAAACTTAATGTGATATCATGCCGTATATAAATAACCGTTACTATAGACTATATTATATTTTTCCTTTTATGATCCCGGCGATAAATTAATCAAAGTATTGCCGATGCCTTTCTGCTTCTAGCAAGTTAAGCACCAAACTTGACGTCTCTGCCTTTACGTTTCCAAACTACATGTGCGCTTTTGCATTCTTAGCTTTTTTTCTCCTGATAAAGAAATATTGTTGCCGTTAAGAGTCTTAAGACTTTAATTTCGTATCTTAATGTTAGTATTTTTTTTTTGCGTAACTGATATACTTTAGTGATTTATGCTAATGTAGTGCTGATGCTGTATTACTACTCAAATTTTAAGTTTTACACCCACATATACAGTTCTTAGTGGGAATCATATCTTATGGTTATAAAAAAAATTGATTTCAGTAATATTTTTTTTTTTAACAAATAATTTTTTTCCCAGTAATTTTATGATATGTATCCAGTCTTAATTATACTTCTTTGAGTGGACATAAATAATTTCTTATATATACAAATATATATGATATTTTACTATATTGTAATATAGTAATATATCTAGCTAAAAATGATATATCTCAAATATTTTTTTTAATATAATATAGGAAACAGTAAAGTAAAATTCAAATAATAATGACACAACGATATCGATATGGAATTAATTATTTATTTTAAAAGTTCAAGAATATATATATACTTTATGCTATATTATATGATGTACGTTTAAGAAAAAAAACTTGAGTACTATGAAAGTATGAATTGTAATTTTTCTTCAATAATTAATGAAAAGTATATTAGGTTCTTACAATTTATCAAAACGTATATTAGAATATCCATATGGTAAAAAATACTAAAAAACATTGGAGATAAAAAAAATATTTGTAGTTTTTACGGGTCTAATGAATAAAAAATGTTATTTTAACCATTTTATTTATTGGCCCCATGAACATAATCTACTAAATAACACTTTCATTATAACTATAAATGAAAATTTCTATTTTTCATTATCATTTACTTAATTTTTCCTTTTATTTCTGTTAAACTTTTCTCTAGATCATATAGATATAAGTTTTAAATTGGCAGAGGTAAGAAACATTGGTAAGAAAGCTTTTATTGTCAGTAGAAAATGTTAAAGAATATGAATTGCGATAAAATTATATGATAAGTACTGTAGGGTCATTCATGTTTGTAAAATAAAAATGGTAAAAGTAAGAAGTCTCTTACAAGTTACAAGTACTACCATAAATATATATATATATACATATATTACTACACTAAAACAATTAATTAAGTGAAATGAAATTGTCTTCCATATTTGTTTTATTTTTAAGTAGTGAATTTCATGGTATTTATTTCACTTGGGAATATAAAATCTCGTGTAAATGGTAACAAATTAGTAAGAAGAGAACCATACCAATAAAAACCAAACCGAACCAAAAGCTCTGGTAAAAACCACAGATTTACCGAGCCGTGGAAACTGCTGGTGAAAGTGGTGGGTGAAAAAGTCAGTTAAAAAAAAAAGAAGTGGAAGACGAGGTGAACCGAATTCGAAGGAGCCTTTGGACCCGTTTTAGTTTTTTTTGTTTATTAACGTTTCTCCTTCATCTGATTCTCTCTTCTCCTTCATCTTCGTCTTCCTCTTCTTACGTTTCATTCCTCGCTCAGGCTTCCTTCAGTTTTGATCCCAGGTATTTTCTGGACTCTTCATTTGATTTCGTACATGTAATGTGAGTTTTTGTTGTTGTTTTTGAGATCTGGTGTCTTGTTATCATCACTTCCTCTATTGGTGTCGTGTCTGGATCTTTGATATGTGTGTTTAGTAATATAATCCTATTGTCCACACCAATTGTTATTTGTTTAACCGACCATAATCTTCAACTAATTTTAAATTACAATGACTCCTTTTATCCTCTGCTTTGGTTTTGTCTTTCTATTATTTTATTACTCTGGAGATGTATTAGTGTTGTTGATAACAAATGGGTTTTGAATAAAGTAACGTAAGGAACAATATAATTTATATTTTTTTTTATTTGCAGAAAAGTTAAAAAAAAATGGCTGATGGTGAAGACATTCAACCTCTTGTTTGCGACAATGGAACTGGAATGGTTAAGGTATTACCACTCATCACATATATTTTTGTTTCTTTGGGCTATGAATGAACAATGTGTGTTTTGTTTTGAGTTAGGCTGGTTTTGCTGGAGACGATGCACCACGAGCTGTCTTTCCCAGCATCGTAGGTCGTCCACGTCACACCGGTGTAATGGTTGGCATGGGCCAAAAGGACGCTTACGTAGGCGACGAAGCCCAATCAAAACGTGGCATTCTAACTCTCAAGTACCCTATCGAACACGGCATCGTCAACAACTGGGACGACATGGAGAAAATCTGGCACCACACTTTCTACAACGAGCTACGTGTCGCACCCGAGGAGCATCCCATTCTCCTCACTGAAGCTCCTCTCAACCCTANGTGGCATTCTAACTCTCAAGTACCCTATCGAACACGGCATCGTCAACAACTGGGACGACATGGAGAAAATCTGGCACCACACTTTCTACAACGAGCTACGTGTCGCACCCGAGGAGCATCCCATTCTCCTCACTGAAGCTCCTCTCAACCCTAAAGCTAACCGCGAGAAGATGACTCAGATCATGTTCGAGACTTTCAATGCTCCCGCTATGTACGTGGCTATCCAAGCCGTGCTTTCACTCTACGCTAGTGGTCGTACAACAGGTATAGTTCTCGACTCGGGAGATGGCGTGAGCCACACGGTTCCTATCTACGAAGGTTACGCACTTCCACACGCCATCCTACGTCTTGATCTCGCGGGGCGTGACCTAACCGATGCGTTTATGAAGATTTTAACCGAGCGTGGCTACTCATTCACCACCACGGCGGAGCGTGAAATCGTTAGAGACATTAAGGAGAAGCTTTGCTACATTGCTTTGGACTACGAGCAGGAGCTAGAGACGGCTAATACGAGCTCGTCTGTTGAGAAGAACTACGAGATGCCTGATGGACAAGTGATCACCATCGGTGCTGAACGGTTTCGTTGCCCTGAGGTTCTTTACCAGCCGTCTATGATTGGTATGGAGAATCCAGGGATCCATGAGACGACGTATAACTCTATAATGAAGTGTGATGTGGATATTAGAAAGGACTTGTATGGTAACATTGTGCTTAGTGGTGGAACTACAATGTTCCCTGGGATAGCTGATAGAATGAGTAAGGAGATCACTGCTTTGGCTCCAAGCAGTATGAAGATTAAAGTTGTTGCACCTCCAGAGAGGAAATACTCTGTTTGGATTGGAGGGTCTATCTTGGCCTCTCTCAGTACCTTCCAGCAGGTACACACAGTCTCATTGAACCAACTAAACCGATTTGCATCTTGTTATCTTGCAGCTTAACCAATCCGGTTTATCCCTCATATTTTTTTTATAACTTGTGCAGATGTGGATAGCAAAGGCAGAGTATGATGAGTCAGGCCCGTCCATTGTTCACAGGAAGTGTTTCTAAGTTCCAAGTTTCCCATAACCTTATGCTGCTCTTTGTTTTTGTTCTGTTATGTTTTGGGATTCTGAACAAAGACATGTTCAAGATTTTATGATTATCCGTTTCTATGTTTTTCTTTTCTACTATTGTAGACTTTTAATAAAGTTCTAAGCTATAGAAAGTTTTGCAGTTGTGAGGCAGTGCCTATGATTAAACACCAAGCTTGAGAAAATGACATTGGAGACATCAAAACGATTAAAGAAGATAAACAAACAAATACAATAAAATCTGAGTTAAGGAACCCCAAAGTCTAGTTAAAATTGCAGTCACCAGATTAACAAAGAAACAAAAAGCCTACATTACATGACACAAGAATGTAAATGGGATTTTATTCATTCACTCTAATATATAAACCCTATATAATAAAACTCAACCAAAAGAAAGAAAACAAGACAAATTTTAGTCCAATATCTAAGACTCAGAACCCATATTATTTTCTTTAAATGACATCATCATTTCACCTGCTTCCTCTCTAAGATATGTGTTATCACCTGCTTATTCGTTCAGGTAGTGAATTCATAGGTGATTTAGTATGATTCGATTTGGAGCATAACACCTTTAAAATTCATATATAAAGTTTTACAAATTCTAAAATATATAGTTTTATTTGGAGATGCTCTCATAATAGTGGTCCTTGGTTGCTATTTGTTAGTTTGGAATCTGAGTTGTATTATTAGTAGTGGTCTTTCATTGCTATTTCCTAGTTTTGATGATCTCTAGATATATTTCAAATGCTTTTGATATAACTTAGGATCTTAGGGGAAGAGCCCTTGAGAAATATAGAAAGAGCCGATTCAGACATGTGTATCTCACATAATAAACTTATTCCTCTCAGTCTCTAGTCCTATGACTATGCTTCAAGCACAAAGTAACAAAAGATTAGAACCGAGCGGTAACTTGAGCGAAAAGTGCCTTGAAATCCTTTGTTGGGGTGCCTGTTCCCTCTGGCTTTGAGGCCAGATCAAGCGCTTTATTCTTTGCCTCCTCTAGCTGCAATGCCTGCTCGAATAAAGACACACCATGGATTAGGAAAGAGACACAAAATGGTTTTTAAAATATATAATGCAACAGTTGTAATGTACACAACACCTGAACGCAGACTTCAGCAACATCAGCCCTTGCGATTGTTCTTGTTTCTGTCTCAAGAATCTCGTCATCTTTTCCCACAATTAGTTCTCTGATGCCACCTTCCTTGTCCTGCAGACCACCCGCCCTGATCCCACAATAAATATTTGTGACATTAAGATTCCACAAATTTTTGCAATTTGAATCATATGCAAAGTCTAACCTGATGATGGTGTATGGAATACCGGAGTCAGCCAAGTACTGCTCAGCTTTCCTCTTCCAAACCTACAAGTTTGCAAAACGATGCTTAAATATTCTGAACATTTTTTGTTGTTGTGGAACTCAATTTCTCTGTTCAAGAGAAACAAAGAAAGATGAATTACCAGAATGTTGCCATTGCCAATACTATTCAAGGGGTTGTTTATGTTTGTTCCTCCCATTGACCCGACCAAAACAATCTGCTTAACTCCTGCTGCCTTAGCTGTTTACAACAAAGACAAGATCATCAACACTTTCTCTATAAAGACACATATAAAAGTATAAAGTTTAATCGTTTTCCAACTCAAAACCAATTGACGATTAATAGATTGATCCAAGTCTCTTAATGTTTCATGTAGGAGTTCACATTCTTACACACACTCTTTATATATTAAGGTAATAAAAAGCTTAAGAGATGAATACAAACCAGCATCTATCTGATTCTTCTGACCAATCCAATCAACCTACAAAAAAAAAAAGAATAAAAAACCAAACAAGAATGTACAAACCAAACAAGAACACAGTAGTTGTTGTTGTCACCTGTTCAGGAAAAGCTCCATCTTCAAAATAGAACTCAGGTCTCTCTCCTTTGCTAGGATCAAAACCAGGTTTCATCTTCGGCACAGCGCTCGTAAGAATGACCAAAGCATCAATCCCTTGAACAGCAGGAGCTATGGCTTCAGGGTCACAAATATCTCCGATGAACAGTTTTTCATCCTCTCCACCGATCTTCTCTTTACTCTCTTTCGTCCTCACCAAACCTCTCGCCACGAACTGATCAGACCTCTCCTTCAATTTCTTGTACACGATTTGCCCTGCCATTGTTACAAATAAGTACATGCACAGAGGGAGATTACGTGATGGACAAGAAAGAGGAACCTGTTCTTCCACCGGCGCCGGTGACGAGGACGGTGAGAGGTGAAGTTGTTGCGGAGGCGGAGACAGTTACGGATACTTTTCTGAGATTTCCGGTTAACTTCCTTCGAGCAAAAACTGATGACGTGTCCGAAACAAGCGAGCGGAAATGGAGAGACGAGGGAGTTGAGGAAGGAGGAACTGAGACGAAGGAAGAGGAGAGAGCTCCGGATTTGTAAGTGGTGGAAGGAAGTAGTGAATGGAAGAATGTCGTCGTCGTCGTCATCATCGCCATTGACTGGAGTTTGGTAAAGCTCAGACGGTGACGAGAGAAGTGAGTGAGAGAGAGACACACCTAATCGTTTCTCAGATTCTTGCCACGTCACCTTATCGACTTGAGATGGGCCTGACTTTAATTTGGGCCGGAAACAATCTTATTAAAACATGATTTTTACATTAATGTATTATAATAAAATTATAAAAATTATTATATCACGATTATACGACTAAAAATTAAAGAATATTTTTTAAAAAGTTATATGTAATGATTTTAAAATTAAATAATATTTCTTAAAAGTTTATATGTAATGATTGTAGTTACTAGTTACAGTAAACCGACCAATCATATTCATTACAAAATCCACAGTTAACAGTTCTATTTCATCATGTAAATTTTAATATTTTTTTAATTAATTTATAAAGTGATTAACAAATTACAATTTTTGAAATATGTATAAAATTTAATAAATATTAACAATTAACCAAGAGGGTTTTTTCAAAAATACATACTTCTATAATCTTGAACTCCGGAAAAGTTTGCATTTATAATTTATAAGAAATTACATAGTATAGTATGAGATTCGAATCTTAAACCTAAGTGTATATACTGAGTTTCAAAAAAAAAAAAAACCTAAGTGTATAATTCTTTAAACTTTAATCAGTATGACAATTTGCTTCCACGATACATTTTAGTCCATGAAATACATTTCAGCTAGAGAAAATACACCATATTTAGCGTAATTTCCATGACAATTAAGTGGATTACAACCTTTCTCTCTCTTTGGCTACTGTGAACTCAATCATCTTGCTTGGGTCATGAGAGATACAAGACAACTCAATATTGAAACAGTCGATAAAGATTCTCAAACACTAAAGGACGGCTGTTTCTGTAAGTAGGTTTCCTGACGTACTCTACAAGCAACAACAACAAAAAAATACACAAAAAATATAAATACAAGTTGTTTCTTTTACATCAAAACAGAGTGGTTTGACGACCCACTCTTCTCGGCAACCCAAAATTTTGATAAGATCGGATTTCACCACTAACTGTAGCCGTCACAATCACCATCCCCCAAGCCGTCGGCTGTATAGTTTGTGGACCGTGTCCTCCACTATCAAACCACGACCACGAAGACAACCTCGACGACGTGTTTATAGACGGAGACTCTCCAAACCTAGACGATTGCTGCTCTGAACCATTCATACTCGACCCAAAAGACTCGCTGATTCCTACCTCACCTCCAACCTCTTCCTCCGGTTGTTGCTGCGGAGTGATTCTCTTAGGGATTGGTGGTAATCCCGGTTTCTTGTTCCTGTTTTGTACAGCCGTGGCGTAGATTTCTTCTCTTGTCGGTGAGCTTACTGCGGATGAAGGCTGGCTCGAAGTGGATATGCGTTTAGAGTGGCGTTTGGAGTGCATTTGAACTGGTGGTGGCTCGCCTCTAACGTGACCGTGCCATGGGACAGCTGCTGAGACGTTTTTGCATTCGAAATGTTCGTGTGATTGTGTCGTGTTTGAAGATCTTCTGCCTGTTTCGGAACAACGGTTACTATCTCGTTTCCACATGTAAACCTGAGAGTCTTCACTCGCACAGATTATGTATTTCCCGTTTTGGCTATACGAAGCCGAGATTTGGCTACTCGTGTTTCTAAAGCCTGTAAACAAAAACGGTTACGGCTAGAACATGTCCAAAAGTATTATTACCATATGTTCAATTTTGTGTATTGAGAATATTACCTTTGAATTTGTGTATAACTTCGGAACCGTCTAGGATTCTAATCCGCGAGTCAGCGGATGTTACAAGAACTTCTGATGGATTCACCGGAGAAAACTATAATATATAAAAAGTTTAGTTGCGTTACACGGTGTTTGTTAACGCAAGTCTTAATAACGGTTCTTTTAAAGAGACTTACCTGAAAACTGGTGATCTTATTTTTTGATTGTTTTTTCTTATGAGCCTGAAGATCAATCTGATTAGTTTGATTCAGCTTACAGTCTGTTCTACACAAGAAAAACATAACAGTAGATGTGAAAACAGAGCATTCAACTGATAATGATGTTTGAATTCAGACAGAGCTCAGGGAGAACCTTCTGTATCGTAAGCACGGCAGATTCCTTTATTTGACCCAATGAATGCACCCTTCAAAATCAAAGAAAATCAAGATTCTATCATTGAAAGAATAGTATTGGATTAAATAAAGCAGACTAGTTCAAGAAACAAAGTTATACCTGACCATCTGGAGTGTAGCAAGCAGCAGTGACCATTTCATGAAGATCACTCCAATCAACAACCTGCCGATTCTGTATACTCCATATCCTTATCTTAGCATCAAGCGACCCACTTATGAAATAGTTTTCATCCACTGGGTTAAACTGAATGCATGTCACTGTTGCATCAAATGGACTATAGTCAAAATATGAAGTTAGAATGTGAAAAAAAGACAAACAAAAAAAATGTGGTCTCACCATAGTCATTGTGTGCAAACAGTTTGAGACATGTCCTGGTTTCAAGATCCCATAGCCTAACTGTTTTGTCCATAGAAGAGGACAAAAGAAGCTGAGATTTAGACCAAGACAGATCCAAAATATCAGCTAAATGACCTTTCAAAGAGCAAACAGGCTTCTCAGAAAACGAAAAGACCGTTTCAGGAACATGAACATAATCAGGAATCTGATTACTATTCTTCCTCCCTGATGAGCCTTTCCCTTTCTTCTTCTTCTCTACAGAACCTATCTCATTCCCAGCAGAGTCACAAAGCGATGGATGAATCGGTGTTAAACTTCCTTCATTCATAGACATCAACTCACATTCTTGCACCTCCCACACATGAATGACTTGATCATGTCCACCACTCGCAAGATAATGAGCATCTGGACTAAACTTAATAGTCCAAATCGAACCTTCATGAGCTTGAATCTCTTGACACATATGCAACGCGCTTAACTCCTTGTAAGACTTCCCTGTTGGTCTAACTTTCACCCACTCATTAGCTTTACCATGTTTATTATCTTTATCTTTAACCTTCCTAGGACTATCACTAGTACTACTTCCATCGTTTACATCTTTATCTCCAACTCTTAAACTCATTGAATGAGCTACTCCTTTTATGTTCTTCAACAACGCAGCTCCTCTTCTCTTACTCAACCTCACACTCTTTGAAAGATAAGAGTTGAATTTGCGTAGATCAACAAAGGGCTCGTAGTTGATTCTGTTCACATTCTCTCTACGCATAAGCTCTTTAACAACAGGTGAGTACCCAACGCATTTCTCAAACTCCTCCAACGTTAACTGCTTCCCTGTCTGTAAATCACTAAGCCTATTCCACATCCCATCTTCATCATACTCGTTCACTATAAACTCTTTACCCGTATCAAGATTCTTGATCAAGAAAAACGCACCGAGTCCCGCTTTCGACGACATCACCGATGTCAATCCACCAACAGCAGGGGATTGTCTGATCGGTGTTTGGTGGCTATGACAGATTCTTGTCCTTGTAACTCCCATCGTCGAGTAAGTTCTCGTCAAACGATGCTTAGAGACTTTCCCAAGAACCTCCTCCTTCCTCCGTTTCTCTACCAAGAACCTCTCTATATCCGACTCCGATCTCGATCTTGCAAACAGAGCATGATCGTGATCCTCTGTTTCATCTTTACCCTCAACCTCACCGTTTTTCTTGGTCTCTGCTGCGTTGGAGACGACGCGGCGTATCGTAACAGCGTTGACCATGTCCTTGTTGCTGGCGAGACCCATCCCGTGGAGGAGACGGCGGCGGCGCTCGGAGATTGATCCCGGAGCTGTCATCCAGATATCGTAATCAGGAGACATCATGGGCGGTGTACGGAACTTTCTTGACGCGGAGGTCATGGAGGAGACGGCGGAGGAGAAGGACATACGACACTCGTCAAAATCTTCTTCTTCCTCGTCGGAAGAGGAATTTGTTAGGTCGAAGGTTAGAGCGGAGGAGAGACGGTCGTGTGTTTCGAAGAATCTGTCGTCTTCGTCTTCGAAATCTCCTAATCCTGCCCAGTCCATCGTCATTGTTCTTCTTCGACCCATTTTGTTTATTCCGTTCTCCATCTTCTTCTTCTTCTTCTCTTGTATGTGATTTCGAGAAAACTAATTTAAATTGCATGTGAAACAGAACAGAGTTTAAAGAAAAAACAGAACAGAGTTTCAGAAGATTTGGGCTTTGTCGGAGATGGATGATTATGGAAGGATGGGCAAATCGGGTATTATGGAGGAAAAGTGTCAAGACGTGTTTCTCTTTGCAAGACATCTCCTCACGTTCATTTTTCTTTCAAACTAAAAATTAATTTTAATTTTTTTTTTCTCATGATATGTGAAAACACGATTCAACCAATGATCGTGGAAGCATGTTTTGTGCTCAGCTTTGGAAAGTATTCACGTTTGGTTCGAGTTTAATTATGAACACATCATATGTTCCACTTTACGTGTTAAACAAAAAGAATAAAGTATTTATGTTTTATCCTAATCTTTTCTAGTTTCTTTAATATTACTACAAGGTTTTAATTGAATTCTTGAATAAAAGAAGATTATAAATTTATAGTGTAGTTTTGCTTGCATCTTGGGGTATAGGCTGCACTTGGACGAGAAGATTAATCTGCAAGACTACAACTGCACATTCTTGCAAGGCTTTTGAATCCTAGTCTTGACCATCATGCCAACACGTTTTATTAGTGGAACTGCTTGATCTTCGCATGAATCACATATATTCCATTATAATCTCAGGAAGAACATCTTTTTAATTAGTTTTGGGGTTAATAAAACATGTACAGATTTTTTTTTCTTTTTTTTTTTAATAAATATGTTGACCATGTTTAGAAGAGATTCTATACTATTCTTTATCACCAACATACATATAATCGACATGTGGTTTTACTAGCAAAATCAGTCAAAGACACAGTATGGTTGAGACTTGAGAGAGAACATTTGAAGGAGCTTGGATATGAGCAGGTATATGTGCTATATGACGCATACAGTCCATTTGGTCTATCAAAGGAATAATGTGCATCACCGAGGGACCAGAAATATTGATGCTGAGGTTTTTTTTATTTCCCGGTGTGACTGAAGACGGTGCAGTGAATGTTTTGAGCAAACAAGTTTCTTGAGATACTAGTGGGAGTATAATGATTTGTTCTGGTTAGAGACATAAATTTACCACTACTATTTTCTGTTAACTGTTCATTAACATTTTAAAAAAACTTCTCTAATCACTTTGAGATGAAGGTTTTATTGTTCACAAGAATGAAAACCATAAGAGACTACATAATCAATACAGCTCTCTATATACATCTCCATATATGTTTTTGAGTCTAACAATATTTCGTCACAGCATAAGCGTTGAGAAGTATTGCTCGAATTCTTGATCAATCGTAGGCTTCTTAATAACATGCTGAGTAGAATCTGTACACATGAAAACAAGTTAGTGAATTTCCGGTCCAGGAATCGGTATGGACAAAAACCAAGAATCGGTTTGTACCTTGGTCAACAGTCCATCTCCCAGAGGACAGAACATAGTTAGCAGCATTACTACAGCCTCTAGCTTCATCATCTTCTTCTTCTTCTTCTTCTTCTTCTTCGTCAAGGTAGAGAATGTTTTCAATGTCTTTGTCTGAAAAATCCTCCAGGTTTTGTGTGCCATATATGAAATCCAGATGGCTTTCAAAGGAGATCATCTTGTCTTCACTGCAAGATCCAGATGATTCCTCTTTCATCTCAGTCTCATTTTCACATTCCATAGAAGTTGCGTTCAGACATGACACTGAACACTCTGAATCAAGCTCTGATTTGGCATTGGTATTGTCTGAACAAGCCGTATTGTCAAAACAAGCATGTTTGGACAAAGGTAATAATGATAACTCCGATTGATCTGTCTGGAACTTCCTCTTCTTGCTCACCTCAACTGTTTCCATATTCAACACATTTTTACTGCTGATCATGTGATGGAAACTGCAAGAAACCAACCAACAACAAATAAAATGAGAACATCTTAGATTTTCACTAAATATAAAGATAGACATATGGTAGATCAAGTTTATTGATCTTGAACTTGGTTATGAAGGTTTATAAGAAAACAATAATTATAAATCAACATTTATTAAAATAAGCTAATATAAAGACAGTTCTGTCAATCATCCTCTGGAGTTGTGATTTGGACAACCATTGACATGAACACAGAACTCATACAAGTTACAAATCAATCATCTTATGCATCTATGTATTTTTGAGAACTTGGAAGAGGGATCAGAAGATGAAATTTTTTGATTTATGAACTAAACACTAACCATTGTAAGATTATAATACATGGAGATCTAGTATTTGAAAGCCTCAAACACCTGAGGCTCACACATAACCAAGTAACAAGAATATAAAAAGGAAAATATTCAGAAACTAAAACCTGCTAATCTCAGATGGCTTCTTGTTATCAACTTCCTCTTCAGGCATAGATCGCTGTAGAGAGTTCAAAGATAATTTTAAAATGATGAATACTGTTCTTTCCCCTTTCGGAGGGTCGTAATATCTGGAACTCGAAAACTTTATAATATATAAATCAATCATAAATAATTTCACATTCGACGTAGGACAGTGTACTCTACGGACTTATATAGACCGTCGATGTTGTTTATAGGATGTTTGATTTCGCGCGTGATATATATTAAAAGAAGAATCCAAGCGCTGGAGAGGTGACCCATCTCCTTTCACGAGGGAGACTTTTTTTTCTTACAGTTGTCCCATAACGATTTTATGGGATTTGGATGAGGTCTAAATATTTAGATTTCTTTTATACATTTACGTATAAATATTTATCACTTTACCGCCCGCCAAAAGTACCAAGATAATTGTTTATATTATTTTCTATAGAAAAACATATTCTAAAGAAACATTTTACTTGTTATTTTCTGTAACATTCTAAGAATATGGAGAACCTTATTTTGTGGTATTATTTTTGAATAATATCATTATTTTTGGAAAAAAATGTGACATTGTATCGAAATGTTTAGCTTGAAGTCTCGTACCATGATGACAAAATAGTAGTTTAGTTTTTTACTTGTGTTGTCTGCTACGCTGCCTATCACAGTGTTACTGGTATCACGCGCCTGCCATGTGGCCACGAGGGCCATCATATGGCGCTGTCTGCTGCTTTTTTTTGTTGGCTTTCATCATTGCAACTCGTAAGAAGAAAAGCTGAAACCAGTTCTTCCTTCGTTAACTGTTTTCAGCTCCAGCTTCTGAAACGGACTGGTCACAAAAGACAGGTTTTAGTTGCAAGATTAATCAACTTTTCAATACCAAAACAATAACATCAGCAAATTATGGTCTGTGTCATGATGGAAAATGTTGGACTAACCTGCTGTTAGGGTCATAATAGAAACCGCTGATGGATCCGTCGCTGCAGGAGAAGCATACGTAGTAAAATCCAGCTATTGTTAGTCCACAGTCTGTGCCAACGTTTACAAAGTATTGCTCTTTCCATCTCTGCATCACCAGATATAAACTGGGGTTGCAGGAATTATGGGATATAACTCAAAGAAATGGATGGTCAGAATGGTTATAAAACTCAGAATGTTTACCATGAATATGTAAGGGTAATTGCTAAGATCTAATTGCCTTCCACCGTCAGTCTCAACTTGTCCCTACAAGATTAGTTTCAGAACATGTCTCAGGAGATGTTGGTGACTCTACAAGTAAGTTAGTAGAGCATTACCTGAAGAGGTGCAAAAGATGGGAACTTTGACCAATGTCTCATATCATCTTCCCTCCTGTGACAAACATGTATTCACAATAAGAAATCACTAGCTTCAAATATTCAAGCATAAAAGGGGTTAGGGACATACGTGGCTTCCCATTTTCCGGTGTAAAAAGTATAATTCTTTCCATCAACAATCTCTCCTTCCCAGAATGTTATGACCTGACACGTATACCAAACAGTCAAGAATCGGTTCCTCTAACTGTATTACAAGGGAAAGAAACATGACAACAACAAGAAACGAGTAAAGAGTGTAAGGGGATTACAGGAGTGTCTGCCATGGGAACGTTTAGAGCTTCCATAGTGCCACAAAGATAGCCATGTTCAAGGTCAACTCCCTGTATCTGGACGTTGACTCTCCAAGCTTCCTCCTTCTGTTGATTAGAGACATTTTGTGTACCAGAAAATGCCTGCAGCATAAAAACATGTAAGTCTGCCACAACTTAAAAGCCCTTTACATCACTATGAATAAACAATCTGTTCGAGCTAGTGATTATTACATAATTGCAATTGGATTTAGCATACAAGCCAACATGAAAAAGTAAACAAGCCAGTTAACGCAGAGAAAGCTAACAAGGAAGTCATTCACCCAAGATGTTTGGTGCCAATGAACAATAAGACACGAGATATTTTTAAGGTTTTGGTTTCCCAAATAACACACATCAAATTAGTACCCTCCTTTTCTTGCAATTAGCTAACTTATACGAAAACGAGTTGCAATTCCTATTAGTACCACATATTATCAGACAATATTTGCATCTGAACAAAAAGACACGAGATCTTTTTATGTTTTTGGCTTTTCCCAACAAACATCAGTGAAATTCAGTACACTCCTTCTTGTCTTGCAAAAACTCTGTTCCCACAAAATAAACATCTTAGCTAACTTTAACGTAAGCGAGTTGCAACTAGTACCACATTACAAACCAACTGATTCTCAATAAGAGACACACCATATGACTTTTCAGAACATAGTATCTTTACTTGTATATACTTATCCTCAGATTCTCTGCTCAGTGACTGTGCATGCATAAACACAAGCATAAATGACATTCTATGAATTGAATTGCAGCTACCAACAACCCATAACAATCCTACAAAGAAAGTTCTAAGCTTTAAACATAAGATTTACTTGTCCAGCGGAAAGAAGTGAACTTGGCGGAAGTGGTGATCGATTCCCAGGATCAGTCCCTAAAAAATGTCAAAACAATCCAAATGAATTGAGAAAGAGAACATCTCAAACAGAGTCACAAAATCGGAAACAGGAGGAAGAAGGGAGAGACCTGAAACCTGGGCAGGCGCGTTGCTCTCCACAACTCTCACCGGCATTTTCTTCCACCCGTTGTCGTCGTATCTCTCCTCCGTCGCGTCCCGATGTAATTGAGATCAAACAAAATGAAAATGGGCTCGAGCGGGCCCAATAAACACAAATTATATCCTATTCGGTTTTAGAATAGGTAATTAATCCGGTTAATCTTGCGAACCGATTAATTAGGGGTGAATCCCTGAATAAGTAACACAGTGAAATGGGCTCGAGCCCAATAAACACACACACGTCCGGTTAGGTTTTCGAATTTTAAGTAATTAGACCGGTAAATATTGCGAACCGATTAATTAGGGGTGGTACTCTCTAAACCGAATGGTAAACCCACTCTTTCCCAAAACCCTTCTTCTCCTCTCTCTCGCCTTAGCCTCACTCTGCTCTGTCTATAGTTTCTCTGAACTTTGTTGTTATCTTCTGCTTTGGAACCTGAGGTTTTCAATCTTCGCATCCTCTGGTTGGGTGAGTTCATGGGTTTTATTTGAATTTTGATTTTTTCTTTGCTCATAGTGTTAAAAATCGAACCTTTGGAGCTGACTTCACGAATTGTCTCTCCTTGTCCAGCAGCTTATTCCACAGCTCGAAAACAGGTTAGTCTTCTTCTTCTTCTCAATTTTCCCATTCACATGAGCATTATATGCCTTTGTAAGTGTCATTGGTTTAGCTATTGAGATTGACTTAGCTTTGCTTGAGCTCCTCCTCTGTTTTTGGTCTAGCATTCTTCTTCTTCTTCTTCTTCTTCTTCTTCTTCTTCTGCTTCTTCTTACTTATTTGCATACTTATGAACGAGACTGAATGCAATATTCAATTGTTTTGTACTGGATGCTAATGTTACAATATATATATATTGTAGATGTTGCTTTTGAAACAGAGCTCAGCTGCTGTTCTTGTCTCTGGGAATCCAACTCCTCTCCTCCACACTTCTCGCTTCACTTCCAGAGTTGGTTCTCTTCCAGTCACCAAAACTTACTCCTCCCAGAGTTTCACCATGGCTAATTTACAGAAGAGTCTTACTTCTTCATCTAACCCGGTGTTAGCTTGTAGCTCTCACGAGACTTCTCCTATCAGGTGCCACCTATGTCCCCTCTATTTTTGAATTTGAGTATAGGGTGTTGTTTTGTTGGGGTTTAGACATAGTTTGGTAGCAAATCTTATGTGTTTTGAGTATAATACTACAATGGTGTCACATCATAACAATTTTTCTCAAGACTAGGGAAGGATCTATTTTTGTAATGTTCAGTTTTTTTCCTTCTCTTTGAAAGTGAGGATAAAGAAGATAAACATGTTCATGGAGTCTCTGAGATAATTGTGGGAGTATTGGGAGGTGGACAATTGGGTCGTATGCTTTGCCAAGCTGCTTCTCAAATGGCTATCAAGGTTATGATTCTAGATCCGTCGAAGAATTGTTCAGCAAGTTCATTAGCTTACGGCCACATGGTTGATAGCTTTGACGACAGTGCTACAGTTGAAGCATTTGCAAAACGGTATGTTTCTTGAATTCGTTAGGTTCTCCATTACTATTAGTAGTTACAGCATTGAAGTTTTTTTGTTTGTTTGTTGCCTTAGTTAGATGTGAAGTCCTGACCGTGGAGATTGAACATGTTGACGTGGAAACATTAGAGAAGCTTGAGAAACAAGGAGTAGATTGCCAACCAAAAGCCTCTACCATCAGGATTATACAGGTTTCTTAGTCTCTCATATATTTTCAATTAATTAAAGTTTGTCAAGCAGTGTGATTTATATGAGGCAGTTTGACGTTTCAGGATAAATACATGCAAAAGGTTCATTTCTCTCAGCATGGCATCCCACTTCCAGAGTTTATGGAGGTTAGGCCTTTGTTTATGCTTTGTATCATGAAGAGTTTGTAAACAGTTTAACCCTTAAGTCTTAACATGACAGATAAACGACATTGAAGGAGCGGAAAGGGCAGGTGAACTTTTTGGCTACCCTCTTATGATCAAGAGCAAGCGCTTAGCTTATGATGGACGCGGAAATGCAGTTGCCAATAGCCAAGACGCGCTTAGTTCTGCTGTAACGGGTAATCCTTACTATATATTCTAGTAGAAACTCAACTAGTTTAGTCTGGTACAATTTCATAATTGACATCTAACCTTTGCCTCAATTCTTTTTATTCAGCTCTTGGAGGTCTTGGTCGTGGTTTGTACGTTGAGAAATGGGCACCTTTTGTGAAGGTAAAATGATGATCAAAACTTTCTTTTGCTATTGTAACTTATTTCTTTCAGAAGTTTATAATCATTTACATATAAAACTTTTAGGAGTTGGCTGTTATTGTGGCTAGGGGAAGAGATGGTTCCATGGTTTGTTATCCAGTTGTTGAAACTGTTCACAGGTAAGTCAAACACTCGATTAAACGTGGTTCTTTACTTCTTTACTGACACACTTTGAAATGCACACTAGGGATAACATTTGCCATATAGTTAAAGCACCAGCAGAGGTGCCTTGGAAGATCAACAAACTTGCCACTGATGTTGCCCAAAAAGCTGTTGGTTCTTTAGAAGGCGCTGGTGTTTTTGCAGTCGAGCTGTTCTTGACAGCGGATGGTCAGGTATCGTCATGCATTTTAGGCTTTTTACCTCTGTTCTTTAATTTGTTTAACTTATCAGAGTTTTACTCCTTTCCAGATCTTGCTAAACGAAGTTGCACCTAGACCACACAACAGTGGCCATCAAACGATCGAGGCATGTTATACTTCACAGTTTGAACAACACTTGCGGGCTGTGATTGGTCTTCCTCTCGGTGATCCGTCGATGAGAACTCCAGCCTCCGTTATGTACAATATTCTAGGCGAAGATGATGTAATGGATGTTTCCGCTTTACTTTATTGTTTGAAATGTCTTGGTCTTACTAGTTTTATTTTGTTTCCTGTTTTCATATTTCAGGGAGAAGCTGGTTTCAGATTGACTCATAGGCTTATTGCGAGAGCTCTAAGTGTTCCAGGTGCATCTGTGCATTGGTATGACAAGCCAGGTTAGATTCATGTTCTCTTACTGTTGTCTCGTTAGGGTTTTTGTGAAGTGCATAGTTACTCACAAATCTTGTATATGATGAAATATTGTTGTCAGAAATGAGAAAACAGCGGAAGATGGGGCACATCACTCTCGTTGGGCAGTCTATGGGTGTTTTGGAAAGAAGGTTGCAATGTATATTAACTGAACAAGGCGATCAAGTAGATGGTCAGTTTTCATATAGCATAGTTTGGTATCTTAGTCCACTGGCTTTTACTTCACATATGTCTTCAAATGATCTTGCTACAATCTTTTATATTACTAGTTTATGGAGTTTCAATGTATCTGACTGAAGTTTGATTGCGTTTTGGATACATATTGCAGAGACACCTCGTGTTGGTATCATCATGGGTTCAGACTCGGATCTCCCTGTTATGAAGGATGCCGCCAAAATTCTTGACATGTTTGGTGTTACATATGAGGTAAAATAATCATTGCTTCAACCTATATGTATCTTGAATGGTACAATATTTGAGAAATAATACCATTGGTTTATAGGTAAGGATAGTTTCAGCTCATCGGACCCCAGAGATGATGTTTTCATATGCAAAATCAGCTCATAGTAGAGGCATCCAAGTGATAATTGCAGGTGCTGGTGGTGCTGCTCACTTACCAGGTTTTGTCTTAAAACATGAACTCAATTTTAACCCTACAAAAACGCTAGATTCTCTGAAATAATAGTGCTTTTTTTTCTTTTTTTCGAAATTAGGTATGGTGGCTTCACTCACTCCTTTGCCTGTGATTGGTGTCCCTGTACGTGCTACCCGTTTGGATGGAGTTGATTCACTTCTCTCCATCGTTCAGGTACCCCCACATTGTTTCATGTTTCACTTAAACTATTAATCGCTTGCAGTTTTCAAACCTTTTATCTCTTTTTTTTGGTTAACATAGATGCCTAGGGGTGTTCCTGTCGCCACAGTTGCAATAAACAACTCCACCAACGCAGCCTTGCTTGCTATCCGGATGCTGGGGATCTCTGATACTGATCTCGTCTCAAGGTTCTTCTTATTTTTTTATCTTTTGTTACATAAGAGTCAGATTGAACAAGATAATGAATAAGAGTTGTAGGTTAATCCTTTGGTTTTTTTCAGGATGCGTCAGTACCAAGAAGACATGAGAGAAGAGAATATGGTTAAAGGAGAGAAACTTGAACGAGAAGGTTGGGAATCTTATTTGAACCAGTGAGTGATATTACTGGTCAGAAGATCTTGTTGAGGGATCTGAAAGTTAGCATCGGTTCTTGAGTTGTTTTCACCGGTAGTTCCCTATTGAACCAGTTAAGCCGTCATAGGCCACATTCAACTGTAGATTCTGTATTTTTACTACTAATACAAGTGACTTTTAGCAAAAAAATAAAATAAATAAATCCACAACATTATTGGTTTCTTATATAAAAGAGGTGGAGTTCCAAAGGCTTGACGTATCAGTCAAGTAAAATGACAAATGCAATCAGTTGACAGAAGATACTGTTTACTTCTTACAAACTCTTTTTGATATAGGTGGCAAAACCAGAGGTTGGAAACCATGTCGAAGAGCAGCTTCCCAAACTCTGTGAGAGTTACTCATTGGAACGTTAAGACCACACTCGTGTTCCTCCCATCCTTCAAGGGCATGCACTATTCCACCAACTCTCCATGCGCTCATAACTCTCCTCCCCAGCCAATTCTATATTTATACAATGTTATATATCATTAATTAGTTGTAATAAAGTTTTACTAGAGTTTTAAAAATGTATATACCTCACAGGAATCGATGTTTTGGGCAGAGTCCGGGATGATCATAGCCGGAGTAGTATGGTAAAAGCAGTCTTTACGAAGTTGGGTAGGAGGAAACTGAGAGAAAGGAAGAAAGTGAGTTCCTTTTGCTGCAATCTTCTGCTCTTCTTTGCTTAGCCCATCTCCCACCAACCATATCTACATCATATATTTAATGTTAACATAATTTTATGAAATAATTATTATTAGATTTTATAAAATGATTGTTAATGCTATTTGAAATGTATACATATACCATTGGGGAGTAATTGGTTGTGAGGA